TATATATATATATATATATATACATGAATATATGGAGAAGATAGACAGATATTAAATATATTTATGTGTGTATACATATACATGTATATATAAAGTATGTATGTTTGTGCATGTGTGCACATACATGCACGCACATTTCTATATAGAGGCCAGAAAACAATCTCAAATGTTGTTTTCTAGGACTACTACTTGTCTTGATTTTTGAAACAGGCTGTCTCACTGGGACACGGAAATCACTGATTAGGCTAGGCTGACTGGTAAGCCTCAGGGATTCTCCCATCTCTGCCTCCGGTCCTGGGATTATTACAAGCCACTATGCCCGGTCTTTTACATGCATGCTGGGGACCAGTCTCAGATCCTCATATTTATGCAGTAAACACTTAACCCATAAATCATTTTTAAAGATGATAGCCCCTCACATCATTTTTTTAAAAACAAACTCCTCAGGTTAAAAAAAAAAATCATGGTTATTTAATGCTAGGCACCTATCCCAGGTAACTCCTGTGCAAACTATAGGCAAACGATGACTCTATGACCTTCTGTGTCTCAACTATTATCAAAGGTTCTTTCACAAACTCATAGTCATCTCCACCGTGTCTACTTTGTGACCTCTCAGAAACACTCTCAGCACTGGCATCTTTTGAGTCTGCACTCATCCCATTATGGTCAAGAACCAACCAGTTTTCCCTGTCTACTCAGTTTGGGACTCTTCCATCTCTGGTTCACTGCTCAGAAATTGTGTTGTGACAAGGAGTTTTAATCCAAGCTGCATTTGAGGGTGTCAATCTCTTTTTCATGTTCTTCAGTACAGAAATTACTGTATCCTTTGTGCCTTTAGCTCTTCCTGATTCCTTCATTAATCCCAAGCAAGTGAGTCTGTCTGGGTCAGTTGTGAATTGATCCTTTTTCTGCACAAAAGACAGCTAAGTTAGCTAAGTGGGAATACTTTTCTGAAGACAAGAACTGTAGCGAACATCAGGAGACTGAGGTAAACAACGGCATAAAACTAAAATCTGGTTTATTTGTGTCATAGTTTATGATGTTTTGTAAAAGAAGTGGGTCTTCTGTGTCTGCCTAGCTTTTTTTCTAAGGATAAGACAAATTTAGACTTATTTTCTCTTTCAGAAAAGAGGTGACGATTTTGAAACTGTCTCCTTCTGGCTCTCTAACACATGTCGATTTTTGCACTGTTTGAAGCAATATAGTGGAGAAGAGGTGAGAAAACCTTAGTGGTAAAAACAGCATGTTGTACTTTCTTTGACCTTTTAAAGGGAAGGCTTAAAAATGTTTGAATCATGTTAATTTCCAAACCCCCAAACAGGAAATGTACTGCTTCGATGATGTTTTCTGTCTCCTGGTGAACTGGGCAATGATGTGGCTTCTTCCTTCCTAGCGTTTAAAGAAAGCATGACAAAAACAAGTCAAGCACCAGTCAGAGAATAATTACCAGAAAACTAATTTTTTTCTTAACATGTTGTGGTGGCTTATGTAGAGTTTAAGATTGGGATATAGAATTGTTTAAAGAAATGAATCTGTTTAGGCTAACTACAGTACCTTAAAGGCGACCAACAAAAAAAATTATATATACATCTGGGCATGGAGGTAGAGAAAGTTGGGTCTCTGAATTCAAGGATGCCAGAGCTACTCATAGAAATCCTGGTTTGAAAACAAAGAGATCATATATGTATCTTTGTTTGTAGTGACATATTCATTTATTGTTTGATAGAGTTTAAGTGCAAAACTAAATTATTGATTATAACTGAAAGCTGCTTACTATATGTCTAACAGTACTCGATATATAGAATGTTTGACATGTGACTGTTACAACATCTCATGCAGTTGGCAGTAAACCTATTTTACAGATAAGGCTCAGTGAGATTCATCCATTAGTCTGAAACCTCTTGACATAAGGAGCAGAGCTGTGACTCTGCATCTGCACATCTTGGAGACTTGTTGCCTGACCCCATCCAACCTCCCCTCCTTTGTCAGGAAGGCAGCCAGAGAAGCTGTCAGTAGTACTCACTGGCAGGCAGAGCAAAGGACTGTCATGGCAGGATGACAGGATATACGAAGATGAGCAGGACACCTAGAAGGTAGACCCAAGGAAGCAGAATCCTGAGAATGGCCATGAAGGAGACCCTACTGGCCCCTCATTTAGACTGTGTTATCCACTAAGCTGCTCTGCTGTTGATGGGGCCAGTGAGCAGTGTGCTTAGGGGAAGTGACTGGAAGATATGCTGCTTTTCTGGAGGGCTCGCCTTTTAAACCAATGCCACTGAAAGATTTTTCTAAGATCTAACTAAAATCATCATGTAGATGCCATGACTTAGAATAAAATAATAGAGTTCATTTATTTTCTAGTTCATAAAGAAACTAGTCTAATCAAGAAGTTTATGCATTGTATTTAAAGAGCCAAGAGCTAAAGAGTGTTTTCAGTTATTTATTTAGTTGTTTGACAGTAGACCTGCTGTTTTATCCATGAAACATGTTCTTTTCTTAAGTTAAATTTCCACATCTTGCTATTAGAAAGCTTAAGTACAGATTGCCAAGGTCCTCTGTAATTCAAAGCTAAACAGAAGAGGGTGATGCAGGAGTGAAAACCCAGGCAGCAGCATTGAGAACTGTGGCCCTGGCACTGGGTAGGGCTGAGCAGGATGCAGAGTGATGTGGACAGAGTGTTGGCTTTCTGTGCACCACTAACATTGTGTTGATTCTAGGGCTTCATGAAACACAACACGTCTCGCCAGAATGAACACTGCCTCACCAATTTTGACCTTGCTGAATATCGGCAAGTACTGAGTGACTTGGCCATTCAGATCTATCAGCAGCTTGTGAGGGTGTTAGAGAACATTCTTCAGCCAATGATAGGTAAGACCAGTGTGGCTGAGCATCGCAGGTGCTTGCTGACAAATGAGACCAGTGGTGCATGTGACAGGCGTGTGCTCATGTGGAGACCATAAAGTGGTAACTACAATGGAAATCAGTCTCCACATGACTGAAGCACTAGAATCTGTGTTTGCATCCTCTCTCTGAAGACCGAGCTCTGTCTTCTTTCCAGCAATAGACTTTGCCCCTTTGTCCAATTGTCAAAAGGTCTGCTGTGGCACTATTGTACAGGGCCTCCTAGGAGACCACTGAAAACCAAGGAGGCTGGGATAGGTTTGTACTTTACCTAATAGTCTACAGTAAAATGGCTGGGAAGGCACTGGAGCAACAAGAACCACTACATAGGTGTGTACCAGACACTCCATGTTGTGTAGTAGATCCCCTGGAAATGTCTAAGGCAAGTTAAAGTAGTATTTCCTGTTGGCTGACTGGCACATGTGCTTCTGATTATATATGTAAGTGGAATATGATTCCATGCACCTCTCTTTATACTCATTCTGGATTGCCATTTATATGTTATCCTATCTGATTCCCTTGGCATGCATGAATTTGCAGGTTTTTAATGTAGAAAATTTGTAGGGTTTTTTTTCAAGTTACCAAACACTGTTATCTCCAGGCAAATTAAGAGGCTCTTCACTACTTCAGGCTTGTGTTATTTTCTTCCCTTGACCAGATGGTCTCCACATCTCTACATTTTTACCTCCCTTAGTGAGCTCACACATTTCATTTTCTTTCAGAGGATGGTAGTTAAAACAGCTAGGAACATAAAAGTATGAGGAGGTCATATGAGATGGCAGTTATTTCTTCTCTTGTGCGTTAGAAGTTGTAAATTTAAAACACCGTAGATTGGCCAAAATGCAGGAAGTAACACAGAGGCAACAACCAGCCTCCACCAATCCTTCCTGTCTTTGCCTATGTGCACTGGCTGAAGAAATAGTTTGCCTCTAAGCTGTCCCATTCAGTCTCCATCTCCCAGTCATTTACTAGCAACAACAAATGCTTTGAATTACTATAGGCTTTGTGGGGAGCTGAGTTTAGCACAAGGAAATAGAAAAACAATCCGGGCATTAGTCATTGATTTCCAGGGCCTCCCAGGCAGGGAATGGGTGTCTCCAAGTAGACATGGCAGGAGCTTTCTAAGGAGGCACTAGCCAGACACAGAGAGGTGAGACAGCAGTACAAGAACAGAGACTAAGTCTGGAGAAGTCGAGGCTATCCCAACATCTCACTGCAGTGTAGGGACCTCAGGAAGGTGGGGAGGTGCTAGGGAGGGGGACGCTCAGCTCTCCAGCTCCTCGCCATCAGCTCTGACAGGCCTTCTCCAAGACTGCTTCTCAAAGCCTTGCCTTCCTTACTGTCTTGTTGTTTTGTTGTTGTTTGAATTTGTTGCTTTTTCTTTAATGTCTGAGATCAAACACAAAGAACACTCATTTGACCACTCTCAAAACCTTCTCAGATACCACATGCAAGTGCAATCCCAAAGCTGATGCTTACTTTAAAAAATACAGCAGTGATTACTTAATACTGTGGGAGATTTTTGCATTTAAAAAACTTAATACTTCATTAAAGTTTAAAATCCAAAGGCTTATTCTTGGAACAGTTCCTTCTCCCACTATTTTCATCCTCCAGTCATTTTCTTTTCTTTTTTTTTGGTTTTTCGAGACAGGGTTTCTCTGTATAGCCCTGGCTGTCCTGGAACTCACTCTGTAGACCAGGCTGGCCTTGAACTCAGAAATCTGCCTGCCTCTGCCTCCCAAGTGCTGGGATTAAAGGCATGCGCCACCCGGCCCTCCAATCATTTTCTAAAGTGTGTGTATTTGTGTCTGTCTCTCTTTGTGTGTGTGTGTGTGTGTGTGTGCGCGTGTGTGTGTGCGTGTGTGCGTGTGTGAGAGAGAGAGAGGGGGGGGGGGAGTTTTCTTACCTCTGAATCATCTTAACACTTAAAATATTTCTACAGTCTCAGGCATGCTAGAGCATGAAACAATTCAGGGTGTATCTGGGGTGAAGCCCACAGGGCTCAGAAAACGAACCTCCAGTATCGCAGACGAAGGTACCTACACACTGGACTCCATCCTGCGGCAGCTCAACTCCTTCCATTCAGTCATGTGTCAGCATGGCATGGACCCGGAGCTAATCAAGCAGGTGGTTAAGCAGATGTTCTACATTGTGGGTGCTATCACCCTAAACAACCTCCTGCTGCGGAAGGACATGTGCTCCTGGAGCAAAGGCATGCAGATCAGGTGAGCAAACACCAATAGGTCTGACAACCTCTTGTTACAGGCCTGCTTGCCTGTTGATGGATGATGACTTGTTTCTAAGCAGTAGCACGTGGCCAACAGCAAGGGAAGGACTGGTATAGAGGCAGTTCTTTGGCCTAGATGGGTTCTCATTGCTCAGGAGGAACCCCCACTCATCTGTTAAGCTACCTTGTTTGTAGGATTGTAGAGATGTGCATGATACACTATGATGTATATTTTTCTCTCCTTTCTTGTTTTGATTGCACAACAAGAAAATATTAGAAAAAAATGAAACTTTATAATATTTTGTCATTGCTCTTAGAAATATCTTTTCATATTAGGAATATAAATAAGAATAGACCAACAGGATCTGGAGAAGTGTCTCAGTGGTTAAGAGCACTTACTGTTTCTGCACAGAGCCCAGGTCAGGCTCAGCACCTACAGGGTGGTTCACAGCGCTCTGTAATTCCAATTCCAGGGATTACAACTCCCTTTTCTGGCCTCTCTGCACACTGCCCATGCATAGTACATGGACACATACACAACCAAACACTTACTTTTTTTCCCTTTTTAAATTTTTAAGTTAAAGTAAAATAATAGGTCCAAAGAGATCATTTTCTTTTTTTTTTTAAGAGATCATTTTCTAACACATGAACTTGAAGACAAACTATACTCCATTTATCACTTATTTTAGTTTCTTGTTTGTTTTAGAGAAACTGGTCTTGGACCCACAATCTTTCTGCTTCAGCTAGGAATACAAGCATGCACCAGACATGCCCAGCAGCGACTAGATTTCATATGCACTGCTCCTCACCACTGCCTTATTAGTGTAACAAAACTGAATTTGGGGAGCAGATGGTTGTTCTGAAGCATCCGGCATGCTCACCAGAGGAAAACAAAGGGACTTTTACCAGGTGGTAGTGGTGCACAGCTTTAATCCCAGCACTCAGGAGGCAGGGGCAGGTGGATCTCTGTAAGTGTGAGGTCAGCCTGGTCTACAGAGCAAGTTCTAGGAGAGCCAGGGCTACACAGAGAAACCCTGACTCAAAGAAGAAGAAGAGGGGGTTCTAAAAGATCTGTAGTTACTATTAGCAAACTGTAGTGTCCTATATTTACCATTCTTACCCATATTTCACTTTAAGGTATAACCTCCATTCAGAGATTCTAACTTTTTGTGAAGTTGTCTGACTTTTTTTAAGACAGGGTCTCATGTAGCCAGGCTGATCTCAGACCCACGGTGTAGCCAAAGATAACTTTGAATGCCAGATTTCCCTGCCTCTATCTGACAAGTGTGTGCCACTACACCTAGATGCAGTCTCTCATCTTCATATGGTGATGCCTCCGTCTACCTGAGGACTGAATTCGGACTGTGTGTCCATCTGCCTTAATTGTATTTGAAATGTCCTGTCAGATAGCTGGGTACCTCTTCAAACCCTAGCAGCTGTGGAGTATGTCTCTTTCAAGGGTGTTCCCTTGCCCTTCTCTTCTATCTCTAGGCTTTCTCAGGCTACTGTCCCCATTGTCAGGGCCCTTCCCTGGGGAAGTTTGAGTACAGGACATATGTTGGGGCATCAGGGTGTTCAGTCACCCATTTTGGAATCTTCTTAAGGAAGACAGAGTGGATGAAGAATCCAGAGGCTTATCCTGCAAAGGGAGCCTGAACTTCAGAAGCCAGAAGTACATTCTAGGCAGCTGTTTAATAAGGACAGTCACATGATGTATCCCGTTTTGTTTATTAGCAAGTCTAATAACTTTTCCTCTGGGGACTTTGTTTCCATCTTTCAATAATGAGTTCCAGTCTCTTATCATTCAGTCTTACATAATTACGATTATAAGCCTCATGACTTTATAATGATAAATGTTAAAGCACAGCTGATTAGGTTTTAGAAAATTGAATAAAAATACTACCTGTCACATTAACTGACAAGGCTACATACACAAAATTAAGACATTTATGACAGCATTCAGCAAATTTGCATTTCTCTCTTACTCTCTCTTACATTTTCTTTTTTTATTTTTGGCATAGGTACAATGTCAGTCAGTTGGAAGAATGGCTGCGTGACAAGAATCTGATGAACAGCGGGGCCAAGGAGACCCTGGAACCTCTCATCCAGGCCGCTCAGCTTTTGCAAGTGAAAAAGAAAACTGACGATGATGCAGAAGCCATCTGCTCCATGTGCAACGCCCTGACCACAGCCCAGGTACTGCAGCCCTCCACAGGTGGCACAGCACAGTAGCCTTCCCAGAGGAGCTCGGAGAAGTCAGGCCTGCAGTGATGCCTCTCTCCTCCCTGACCTCCTTCCTTGGCAGAGAAGATACATGTCAATGTGAATCTGGAAGAGAGGGGACTTTATTATCAATTAATTTCAGTGCTGCTCATAGTCCTATGTAGACTATTCAGCAAAGAGAAAGTGCACAGTACTCTGCAATGCTCTGGACCCTGCAGTACAACCCAGGATAGAAACAAAAGTCCCCGCTCTCACGAGGAGTATATTCTGTGGGGATTCGATTGCATGAAGTTATTTCTATGTTATTCAATAGTTAATGGTTCTTTAGATTTTTCTATTTGGGGCTAGTAACATGGCTCCAGCAGTAAAGGCACTTGCTGGCAAGCCTGGTGACCTGAGCTTGATCCCTGAGACCCACAGGGTGGAAGAAGAGAACCAGCTCTCAAGGCTTGTCCTTTGACCACATGCATGCTCTGGTGCTGCCCAGGTATGCAAAATAATTCTTACTCTCTCCATCCTAGATGTGATTAATTCCCATCACACAGGATCATACTTGTGGAGGTAATTACTTTAATTAACAATAAGAAATCTCCATCTTCATGAGCTTACAGCTCGATAGGGAAAAAAAGAAATACTTGAAGCTAACATCAAAAACCTGTAACAGGTTCTGTTCTTAATGCTTTACAAGAAGCACCAATAGCCTTTTCTGAGAGGTGCCACTCAGCAGCCTTGAACTTAAGGAAGGGCCAGGACAGGAATGGTTTTAAGGGAGCCAGCAGCAGCCAAAGGAAGGCCTCAGAAGTGCCTGCTGTTGTTCTCTTTGCCTGGTTATTTCATCTCCTCGATGCTTAGCTCTTCATCTCTGGCCAGTGTGATTCACTTCACTCAGGGAAAACCGTTGGAATCACACTCATAGCTTCTTAGTGCCGACCGAAATTTACAGAAAGTGTTGCTGTAAACTTACTTTTGAGCGGAAATTTTCAGTACTGGTAATGGTCTTGAGGTCTTCCCCATTTCTCCCAACTACGGAAAGTAATGGCACAATGGAGAAACCTGATAGACAGATGTTTCCTGTCCTCTACCTTTTAGAGAATGTGCTCTAGCACTTAATATTACTACATTTCCCAAAGAACTAAGCCAACCTTCAATTTGGTTATTTACGTGATTTGTTTGGCCAGTCTTGGTGAGCAGTCCTTTGTGCAGCTTGAACCCTTGTCTTGTCTCTGTGTGGCTGATTCCTGAGTCAGGTGTGTCACTTACAGACTTTTATTCCGTGTCTCTCTGGTGCTTACCATACTCTTTGCCTATAGGTGGTCATTGCCCTGTACTTAACTTTCTGTTTAACTAATTTAAATGTAAATAACCACATGTGACTGTGATAAATAGTGTGTTAGCACAGCTTTAAGCAATAACTTGAAAATGAGGCTGGACATGGTGGTTGCAGAGCAACATTACCAGAATTCATTCCATTTGTATAAAAATATCAAAAGACAGAGTATAGAAAGTAGCTCAGTGGTGGCCCAGAGCAGGTGTAGCCATTGTAGCTTTAGGGGATGGAAAGAATAAAATGGGGGACTTTTCTCCGTGTTATAGTTTATAGTTTGAGTGGTTTTCTGATTTTTTTTTTCTTCTTAAAATGTTATATGACTACATTCTTGCAAAACTTCAAACACAAAGGCAAGTGTGCCCTTCGGTTTCTCCTTCCCTCTCTCCCAGCCCACCCCAGGTAAAACTGAAGGGAGGTACAGCAGGTCCTTCCACTCACCAGATCATGACGAGCCGGCCTGTTTGTGAAATAGTCTTTACCCTTTCTTTCTCTCTCCAGATCGTCAAAGTGTTGAATCTGTACACACCCGTTAATGAGTTTGAAGAAAGGGTCTCCGTTTCATTTATCCGTACTATACAGGTAAAATGCTTTTTCTTTCTTACTGATTTACCACATGATCATTTGAATGGAATATTCACAATGTTTTTGAAAGGATACTATGTTTATTTTTTGCTTTTTTATTTTTCTTATTTTTGCAGTGCATTGACTTTTTTATATAAGTTTATAGTCCATAAATATTTTTAATTGAAAAATTAACATTTTTATTAAATTTTTAATAGAAATTTTGGTAGAAAAATATCTTACAAATTGGAAGGATTGATACCCTGTTTGTCTTTCTTCTTAATCTTCTCAGATGCGGTTCCGAGACAGGAAAGACTCTCCGCAGCTGCTCATGGATGCAAAACACATCTTTCCTGTCACTTTCCCCTTTAACCCATCCTCCCTGGCCCTAGAAACCATCCAGATCCCAGCCAGCCTGGGCCTGGGCTTCATTGCACGGGTCTGAAGTCTGTCCAAGAAAACATAGAGAACACATTTCTCCTCAGAATATGAACAGTTGTTTCCAGTGAGTTACTGAAAATACATTTTTAAAGAAAAAGTACTGATTATCTCTAAAAGAAGATATTAACTGGAAGCCCCCGCCCTCCTCCCCCCACTAGAATCCTTTTGTTTGGGAAGACACTTCCTGTACTGTTTACCTTTAAAGCAGCATTCATTGTTTATCAGTTGGAAACCCCGAGTTTACATACAGCTGAATGGTGGCAGGGAAGAGTGAAAGGAAGAGTAAAAGAAGTGTGTCTTCAGCTGACAGCATTTAGTTTAAATCTTTAGTGCTGCATTTAAGTGGCATACAAAATACAATCCCGTATGTATAAACTGTTGTGAACAAGGCACAAAGAACTGAAGAAAATCACTGAATACATATCATAGCAACTTAGGAGCCAATCATGTTGATATTGTCAAACTGGATCAAAAATAAATAAATAAACGGGCAACATTAAAGTAACTGGCCAAGTAACTTCCTTATCTGTGTCACTATGGCATAGCAATGTGAAAGACGCTGTTTGCTAAGCAGTGTAGATGCCCGTTTGTAGTGTAGCTTACTGAGCATCTTAAATGGCTGCTGTGTGCTGTCTCCTGACATAAGTGATAGTCTTAGTAGACACTACAGAATAAGCTTCTCTTTCATCAGCTCTGTTTACAATTCAACCAGATCAGTTCTTACTGGATTATATGCAGTTATCCACAGGTTCATTGGCACGAGTAGCAGACACTGGGGAAGTAGAGTTAGACAGAGTGGCTGTTGATGTCATTGCTGATTAGGCTATATTACATTGATAAGTCACCTGTATGGATATCATATCATGGTACAGTGTTGTGTAAAGTTAACTTATTTTTAGTTTCCAAATCTGATTCTTGCCATGCATATATTCAACCTTGATGAGTTTTTTTGTTTTAATTTATTAAGTGTTAGTTTCAGTCACTATCTAGAAAGGACTATCAGAATATTTATGATTAAGATCTTGAAACTGATTATCCTGTAAGTTATTCAAAATAGGCATATAAATAAATCATAATTCAGAGGGTTTAGGTGTTGTAACCTCTATAAATGTTCTCAAATACCACTGGATACTTTTAAAACATCATATTATAAATACATTAAGAAGATTTATATAAGAAATATAAGGATACTATTAAATTTTATAGAGGATTTGGTTCAGTAAGACCCAGATTCTGAATGTCTTCATTATGAAACTCTAATTAAGCATATTCTCCATTTTTTCTTGAAATCTTATATAATAAATCCTTTGGGTTTTACAAGAGCAGATTCTTAGCTTTGATTCCTCTGGTTCTTAATTCCAATCATCAATTTGTATAGTTTAACTGTAAGATGATCTATAACAGTGACATTTAAATATGTGCAATATCTAAATGGTTTCAAGTCAATGATAAATACTGTTATTAAACAGCAGTTATTGTTCATTATCTTACTGGAGCCTGAATGTCCTTGTTTATAAAGTTAGAGGGTTGGACAACTGGTTATTCCAGCCACTTCCCTGTTTACAGTTCACTCATGCTTGGTTCCTAGAGAAAGGGGTCACAGTTACTCTGTCCCGTTGTAAAGACCAGTGTTTAGTGCCTGTCAGTTCCCTAGGGTTAATGCACTAAGTCACAAGTTTATGTAGCCACAATATTTTCTTAACATACATCATTTAGGTACTTTAGAACACCCTAATTATTTCTATTATTTGAAAGTTGCTTAGTTTAAGTAATTTTTGTTACATGATAAATTTTTTTGTTGTTGTTTAGGGAATTTTGTTTTTTGTAGTGCTGGGAATTGAACCCAGGGGCTCATGTGTGTTATAAATAAGTACCCTATCACTGATCTGTAGTCTCAACTCTTTATTCAGTTCCACTACATTTATTTCTTTGCAGGACCTAAAACACTAAGCAACCATCTTCAGTTTTCCTGGGTTTTCAGTATTGTTTCAGTGAACAGTTAATGCTTAAAGTAATCTCACTAGTACTGAGTGTGTCAGACAGCAGAGAGGGGTAGCGGGTGGAAGAACTGCTGAGCAAACAGCCATGTGTAGGCTGTCTTTCCTCACTCAGCCCTGGCAGGACGCCCACACCCTGCTCCCAGCTTAGTCCTGAGTGGGATGCTGATGCACACCCTGAGTCTTGTCTTCAGGACCATGCTGTCATATCCATTTTCCCCGAAGCCCCAGTTTTTTACTTCAGACATTTATGCCCTACAGTTTCTAGCACTTTCCCTTATTTTTCTCTGTTGTCAAGAGTTGGGGCTCCTGTTCTATAGCTGTCCCCATTTTGTGGCTCTCCTGTTTCAATGACAATAGTTCAGAGACTCTATGATTCCAAGCTTCAACTCTTTCAAGCTGCTCAGAACCAGATGGAGATTGTGTGCACTGCTTTGTTAAGGAGAGAGGCAGCAGGCTCGTGCTCACTGAGGTCCTTTGGGCTGAGTGAGGAGCACTCCCTCCCACTCTGCCATCCATACTCTCCCAGCTTCAAACACACACTCAGCCTCTCCCCTGCCTGACCCATCCCCCACCTCCCTAATCTTACCAGCCAGCCATGGCTTTCTGTGGCCTGGCTGGCCTGCATGGGACTTACCTTTTGTGTTCTGTGTACACTCCGGGCCTGTCCTCATCTCTGTACTCCTTAACATTATCACTAATTGGCTTTTCCACAATTCCACAATGACATGCTGGGACTACAAAGGAGCTCTGGAAAGACGCAGTAGCACAGCAGTTCTTCCTCTCGGTAGCCGCCACTCACCCTGCTGCAGATGCAGTTCTCTCCCGTGGCATCCAAGTGAGGAGAGAAGCAGCCTCCCTTCCCTTCCTGCAGCTTCTCTTAGCCCGAGGCTTGAATCTGCCTTAGATGCACTCAAAATGAGGGAAAGATAAACACAAATCAAAATGCACAAAGGACAACTTGGTGGTTCCTTTGGAGCTTTGAACATTCCATGTTACCTGGCACTGCTTTGGAAAGCAAATGTACAGAACTATAATCCAAAGCCACGTGAGAGGGGATGTAGCTCTGTGCCAGTTTAAATGACTTGCTTTGTAACTGACTCATTTCAGTAGCTAAAGAAAGACTCCTTATGGGTGAGCAAGTGTGTGTAATACACATACTCTTTAATAGTGTATACAGAAGGCTATGAAAATACTTCACATCTCGGTGTCTTGATTATTGTGAGAAATTAGTTTTCTGACAGTTGTAGGAAAAGAGGAGCTGCCACTATCCTGAGAACTCCACATGGAGTCCTTCTCTCTCACACACACATAGTCACCAGTTGAGAGTTCTTCAGGAGGTGTGGTCAAGGGTCCTCTGGGTCATATCAACCTGTTAGGAAGAAGAGCAAATGTCCGTGTGTGACGCTGCATGGTCCGTTGAAAGTAGTGCAGAAATAGTACCCATGATGCATGTGCTTCACGCCAGCAACTCTTCCTCTGTTACCTCACTTCCTCACAGCGTGACAGCTCCCACAATCATTGGGGTTGATAATTTGGGACAGTGGTATGGTCAGTGACTTGCTGAGGGTAACACTGCCCTTTAGCAGTAAGACAGAAGCTGTCCTGTCTCTCCTGATGCTGTAGGGTGCCCTGGGCTACTATGGGTGCTCTTCATCTTTATTGGCATATGGGAAAAGACAAATGATGACAAACTTACTTCTTGGGAGGCCAGAGCACAGTGCTTACAGCACCAGCTGTGATGAGGCTTGCCTTTTGTGGTGAACCAGCACTCCTTGACAGGGTGTGGACTCTCAAGTTAGGCTGTCTGAACTAGAAGGGCAGGAAACAGTGAAAACCTCAGATGTGAAGAGGCAAGGCAGGCCACTCTCCACAACCCTGAGGTTTCCCTGGGAGAGCCCCTGGCTGAACTACCAGCCTACAGAGAACTCTAGTTTTAGTCTGAGGCACAGAGGAACACTCAGTACCTCCCTCCCTGGGGCTGTCTGCCTTTGGTGAGTCAGTGTAAGCTGGGCAGTGCCACAGCATGCTGCAGGGGAGGAGCTAGGAGCCTGTGCTGTGGGCATGCATGCTTGAGGCCACAAGCATTCTGTGGTAAGTGCTTTGTAGTTTGTTCTCAGGCTGTGCTGTGAGGGCCGCCTTAACCCTTGCCCCTTCCCTTTTAGAGCTGCCTTAAGTTCCCCAAAACTTGTCTCAGTGAGGGGTATCTTGCCATGTTTCTCAAGGTTTTGTAAGGATTTGGATTGGGTGTGGCTTCCAACCATTTATTCCTTTCCCGGCTTCCTGCATCTCCTGCTACCTATGTACTGCCATTTCCAACCAGAGGTTAGAATTTATAAAGCAACCGATGAAATGTTCGCTTTAGGAATATTTCCAGGTTAGTGCAACTCCCGGTAACAGGAAGCAAATTAGCATGCATGGAAGCAGGACGGAAGTCAGTGTATTTGTGGGTGTCTTGCCTTTCACTAACACTTTCTAATAAAGGCAAAAATACAACTCTAAAAACGTTGTGTATGGACATCCTTATAAAATGTAAATGTGCCCTACTGTAAAAGGCTAAGTAAAAACAAGAAAGTAGCTGTATTAATTTCTAATTCATTATAGTACCTAAATTAACTTTAGAATTATAGTCAATTTCTTAATAGGTCAAAATGCAAAAGATATAATGTTAAACATCTCCCACATGCATTTTATACATCTCTTTACTGTATACTTTGGTTTCCTAAAAGAGTGTTCATGAGCTTAACTTGATGAGTAGAGTTAGACTCGTAACATTTGAAAGCAACTAACATTTTCTTGGCATTGTGATGTTGTTTGGAATAGTTGGAGAAGTTTTAGGTTTGTTTTTGAAGATTGAAATTTCCGTGTATAATTTAATGCTTGGAAAGTTAATACATCCCCATGGGTTTTCCAGAGTTAATAGTTTCAAATAACTTATTGCTACTGTGTGTAATAAAATCTTAGCCTCTCTAAGTCATGTCAGCCAGTATTTTTTTCCCACAAAAGCTGATTTTTTTTTCCTTTAAGTGGGGATATATGTTGTGATTATGATCCACAATTATGTTCTTAATTATGTTACGTGGGTTCCTGAAGTAAATGATTTTCTTGTGTTTTTGGAAAGTTCTAGTTGTTCCAGCAGTATTGTACAGATGAGCTCATGGCATTTAACATACTGTGGTTTTGTTTTAACTGTTTAGCATTTATTGTGAAATGCACTTGCCTTTGAAATACAGTAAATGGGACGTTGCAGTTTTCAAATCTTTTTCGTCCTTGGATCTGGAGAAAGAATTTTCTTGATCTACACAGTTCATCTCTGCAAAGTGGTTAGTAGAGGAAGCAGAAACACTGAAAGGTGAGAGGTATTACCAAGCCTTTCTGGAAATCACAGGAAATCTTCTAGAATGTTAATAATTCACCTCATATCAACAAAAGCCTTGGAAACATGAGTTTTTCACTGGGTATTACCTAATGCTAAAAGGAAAGCCAAAACAATATCAGAATGACATTTTATGCTCTGAATTTATAGCTATCTAATGTGCTTAGTGTGTATCTGTCGTTAGTGCTGTATTCTCCTAGCTATTGTAGAAAATTGTTCAAATAAAGATAAGGATATAAAGAAACTTTGTCTTTGTCTATAAACCCACTTCACATTTTTAAACAACAAAACAAATTGTTACTCTGAAGAATAACTGTTGTAAGTATAGTCTGGGGTCTTAGAAATTGAAGTGTGTTCATTCTCCACATGTACTGGAGAACAACAGTGTGAAAACTGCAAACACTTAAGCAGCAGATCAGCCGAACAGCTGAGGGACTGTGGCTGCTTGCATATCCTGGGATTCTCTGGCAGAAAAATAGAACCTAGGAGCTTGAACTTTGGGCTTCCGAAAGTTTAAATGAGATTTGTGTCAAAAGTTGAGCTTTAATGCAGTAGGAGAAGAGACAGATGTGCAGAATAGGATAAAAGTCAAGGGATGTGTATGCGACACTCCTTTGACTGGAGAAAGAACTATCTGGCATGGTCTCATCTATAGTCATCATATGGAATCATAAGTATTAAGTTCTCCCACAGACTGTCCCTCTTCCACATCAGGAAAAGTTCATGCATCAGACTCATTTATCAAGGATTTCCCTTTCCAAGGTACCACAACAGGCCCCAGGAATGCAGCAGCAGGAGTTATAGTCAGCACCTAGCCCATGGAAATACGTAGTCTTGTTCTATAACAAACTGGAGTAGAGTCAGCTAAGAGGAGTCTGTGTGATCAGATAAATGTCAGCCATTGACTTGAAGAATTATCCTTTCAGAGGAACTAAAAATGGACTGGACATTTTCCCATCATGGAAAGCAATGGATGCTGATGGCAATGCTGAAGACAGTGGAGCTTAATGGTGGAATGTATTCAGAAAAAGTCACAAAGTCTATTCCTGAGGCCTGTGAAAAGGACCGACATCGTTACATTTTCCTGGGTTGGAGCCTGAATCTTTGATACAGCTCAGCTCTTCTCAATGTGGGGTGACACAAAGTGTCACAGCTGACCACAGGCACAGGCATTCTTGGATATAGGGAAGGTGGAAACAGACAAAACAATGTCATTGAAATAATGGGTTTGGGCACTGAGAAATAAGTCCAACTGACTAATGTAAGAAGGAACAGTCCCAGAATTGCTGTAATATATTGTCAAAAAATCAGATCCAGACAAAAAAAAAATTCCCAAGATTGTGAAGAAATATGAGCATGTGACTCATGCCAGGGTTAGAGTGTGACATGTCCCTCATGGCTCTGCACAGCGAGGTGGCACTGTGAAAAGGGTGGACACAGGTTTGCTACCTGACCCAGATAAGAGGAATACACTTGCAAAGTAAGGCCCTCTCCAGCAAAGGAACCAGCAGGGCTTTATTGCAGAGCCTATACAGGGACCCACCCATCTCTAAGCATGATCAGTTTATGCCCGACACTCTTGGGCATGCTCAGTTTAAGATCATGAGCAGGCATGTCCAACCTGCAACCTGCATCCCACCAGGATAGCTGTAAATGTAGCCCAACACAAAGTCATAAATTCCTCACATACATTTTTTTGTAACTAACTCGATTGCAGTTCTTCTGCATGAACCTTCCAGAAAGAGACATGACAATACTTACAGTATCTAAAGGCTTAGCATGCCCAGGAAATGTCTCTAAGCATGACCAGCTTGTTTGATCACAAAATAAAGGTCATTTTGCAGGTGTCTTATCACAGGAATCTGTCCTTGAAGTTGCCTGCCTGGACGAGTGGCCAGCATCACATCTGTTAAAAGCTTGATGCCCAGCTGTTGTGCTCTTGCGGGGAGTGATAGAAACCTTAGGGGGTGGGGCCTAGCTAAAAAAATTTAGAGCAACCAGGCTGTGATGGTTCTTTCTGAAAGGTTACAATTGTATCCTTTCTTTCTGCTTCTTGTCGGTGCTGGGCCAAGCCACCTGCTCTACCCACCATGTGCTCCTGCTTCTTTGAGATGTTCAGTATCCATTCAAGCAACATAGCCAGCCAACTGTGGGTACAAAGCTGTGAACCAAGATAATTCTTTCTTCCTTTCAAATTGTCTCTCTTAGATATTTGTTGTACAGTGTAAAATTAACATACATATTAAAATGCTCCATTACAGGAAGAGGCAGGTGGGTCTCTGTGAGTTCAAGGCCAGCCTGGTCTATATAGTAAGTTCTAGGACAGCCAAAGCTACATAGAAAGGCCCTGTTTTTTAAGAAAAAGCACTCCCATGGAGCCACAAGTGACAGAAGAAGAGTGGGAGACAAAAATGTCGAGGGGGAGGCCAATAAATAGAGCAAATATGGTAGAATTTGTGATCATTCTGCCTCCACCTCCCAGGTGCTGGGATTACAGTGTGAACTGTCACACTTGGCTCTCAAGATTCTTCTGATTTTAGTTTTTGAGACAGAACCTCCACAGAACATATGAATTTGAATCCCTATCAGAATAACTAAAACAATTATTTGAGGAATAAGACTATTTATTGTATTTATCATTTATGGGGGTGGAGGTCAGAGGACGACTTGCTGGAGTTGGATGTCCCCTTCCACATGGGTTTCATGGATGAAACTCTAGTTAGGCTTGGTGGTGGGTTCCTCTACCCACTGAGCCACCTCAATGGTCCGAATTTTACAGTTTTAAATAGTTGATTAGAAATGAAACCATGCCTCAAATCAACAACTTAATGTGTTCACCTTACGAGCCTGCTGGAGGGAGAACAAACCAAACCCAAGGCAAACAGGATGGAGGGAATGCGAAGGAAGAGACAGAAGTTCACAGAGAAAACAAATGGCAATCTAAACACAACTGACAAACGTTTAATCAAGTTGACTACACAGTATGAGAAAAGTTGTAAATTACTAAAATCAGGAATGAAAGAGGGGAGAGGGAGTGTCTTCCTCAGCCAAGCCAGGACTGGAGGGAGGCAAATGAGAAGCCTGGAGTTCGGGGACTCAAGTCTATAGGTTCCTGGGCAGCAGGGCTGGGCAGTGCCTGCTGGTGAGCACAGACTCTGCACTCTTAAGGCCTCATCCAGAATCGGAGTGGAGTCAAGCTCCACCTACAGCTTTGCTCCAGCAAACTAGAAGAAATGGATGAATTCCCAGCAAGGCGAGCATGAAGTCCACAAGACGTGGGGAATCTGAATGGATTCCCAGAAAGTAAAGGTGTGCATAAAAATATCTTACCACAAAAGCAAGTCCAGCTCTAGGGCCTTCACTTCAAGTTTCACTTTATGCTTAAAGAAGGAAGAGTACAAACCTTTCACAGATTCTTTAAAAGAGAGAAATAAGGGGCTGGAGAGATGGCTCAGTGGTTAAGAGCACTGTCTGCTGCTCTTTTAGAGGTCTTGAGTTCAATTCCCAGCAACCATATGGTGGCTCACAACCATCTGTAATGGAATCTTATGCCATCTTCCGGCAGACAGGTGTATATGCAGATAGAGGACATATACACACAAAATAAATGATAGATAGATAGATAGATAGATAGATAGATAGATAGATAAAAAGATTCTAGCTTTAAGGAGAGAGAAAGAGAAGCACACACTTCCTAACACTCAAATGTTGAAACAACACAGCAAAGGCAAAGCTATCACCCCTTCCAAGGAATGAGAGCCCCTAACAAGACATCACACACCAAAATAATAATAATAATAATAATAATAATAATAATAAATATAATGAAGACCATACACCCTAGCCAAGTTGGCCTATCCAGAAACTTTTAAAAAGCTTAAAATTAAAACAGCAAAAACAAAAAAACCAAACAACTGTCAGGCTGTGTGGTATGTACCTGTAATCTCAGATGCTTGGAAGACTGAAGCAGGTGAATTTCAAGTTTAAGGACAGAATAGGCAACCTAGTGAGTCCCCGATATCAAATATATATCCATTCACAAATTAATAAGACAGCCTATTCAAAAATCTTTATTGTGACACACCGTTATCAGATAAGAAGAAAACCCAACTGGGCTGTTGTCAAGCTTGGTTCTCTCTGCCTCAGTGCCCTGGTACTAGAACCACCATCACTGGCCACCAGACATGGCTGTTTACAATTTCTGACCATGGATCCTTATGTTGTTTTTATTCAGCATTTGTCATGGATCTGTTTTTGTCGTTTTTCTGTTTCACACTGCAGGGCTCCATGAATGGACTATATTAGCTCCATTACCCACATACCCATTCTTACATGAGTAGCCCACTGTTTTAATGACTGTAGTTTGCTTTGCCCATGAGTATGTGGTAGGGCAGGGTTGGGGGAATAGTTCAGTCTATAAAGTATTTGCAGTGCAAGCCTGAGGACCCACTTTCAACCCCTGGAATCTACATTTTAAAAGACAGGTGTTGTGGGCGCTGTAAAGCCAGCTAGGAGTTCTGGGGCTCCTGGATCAGCATAACTCAGTGAACCCCAGAGAGATTCTGGCTTTAAAATAAAAAGAACCAGAGCTGAAGAGATAGCTTAGTGGTTAAGAGCATTAACTTCTCTTTCAAGGGTCCCGAGTTCAATTCCCAGATGGTGGCTCACAACCATCTGTTATGGGATCTAATGCCCTCTTCTGGTAAATCTAAAGATAGCTACAGTGTACTCATATAAGTAAAATAAATAAGTCAAAAAAGAAGAAGAAGAAGAAGAAGAAGAAGAAGAAGAAGAAGAAGAAGAA